GGCGAAAACTAGTGGAGCTCGCGGTGCGGATTGCGAATCCCCGACAATCCAAACATTTTCGCGATCGCATCGGGGACCAGCGGCGCGCGCTAGCGCAGCGCCAGTTCGTGATATATTCTCAGCTGGCTACCTGCTGCGAGAAGTGCGGGGTCTAAGGAGTCCGCTAATTACCACGGCGTAATTCAAAAGACGACCCCCTTCTCGGGCGCGTCGAGCTCTCCGGCACAAAAGTAGTCCCGTTTCGTCGTTCATCACGGGCCCAGAGATTTACATCCCCCTCCGTTCCCCTTCGCCACCCCGCAGCCTCCTGCTGCCCCTTTGCCCTCTCTGAGACCCTCTCGCGCTCAGTAAGGACATATCCGCGAGTGCGTGCAACGCACACACTCCTACACACACCGTATGCCGTGCCGGTGTGTATAGGCCGGGTTACGGTCCCGCCGGACACCTCTCCGGTGTATGACGTCAGTCAGGCCGCGGGGCCCGACGGGATTACAGGCAAGATCAAAAGGCGCCGACCGCCGCCGCCGCCGACTATGACGACGACGACGAGCTTTCGGTGCGAAGTGCGTGATATTCGTGAATTTCTGAAAAAATGCATAAACTGACTTGGGATCGAAGTCGACCGGTAGCGAAGATTAAATAAATATTTAGTAATTAGTTGACACTGTTAGTTAAATACCTTGAGTTAAATAACATTTTGATAATTTTAACTTTTATCTGTATTAAAATGTAAATCATGTGGTTAGTTTCAAAGCAAATATCGTTCATATTAACGTATGTAGTAAATAATAAACTAAATTTGAGAGAGTTAAATTGAATACATTTCCTTGAATTGAATTGTTTAAGTTTCAGTTAAATTAACGATAAATTAGGTAGAAACAGTAGCGACTTATAGAAATAATTAAAAATAAATTAGGTATAATTGACATTATGATTTTAACAGTGAAAGCTGAAGAGAACGTGAAGGCACAGAAATTGTCGCAATTAATAGAAATAAGAGAAGATACAGTCTCAGTAGGCCACAGTAATTTCTCAGAAAAGAAAAAAATAAATTGAAGCATATTCTTTCATCTTGGCAATAATTGGCACTAATTCTAATGAAAGGAAAACACGGGAAAGGTAATTGAAGACATATCTAATATCAATTTTTTCATCGAGATCCCCGTCTGCGATTACGAAAACAGCTAAGAAAATCCGTGGCACGAGGCAAATGCCAGACTACTATTCGTCGCACGTGCAAGACTTAGACGTACGCATTATTACGCATGCATATGCACCGCGCCGCGATCATTGCATTCTTGCGCGAGGCTCGCTTTACGAACTCCAGCGTTCATAACTCGAGTCACGGAATCGAAAGTTGAATGTTACCGCCCGTGCGAGCAGGCCCTTTACTCGCGTTTTTGTTCCCTATTTGCCGATGAATATTGTTCGACGCATTCTTGCGGAACGCGCCGCCGCTACGTGCGTTCACGGATTTTCCCACTGCGTCTCGCGCGATTAGTCCCGGTATCGATTGCAAAAGCCCGAGTTGTCTATTCTCTTCGATCGGAAATCGAAGTGATTTGTACACATGTCCGTGGAATCTACGAGCCTTTGTCTCGATTCTAAAATACGGCAAAAACGTGTTCGATGATGAAAACTGAAAGTGAGCAAAAAGATGGACGTTTGAACAATAAAAAAAAAAGAGATTCTTTTCTTCTTTTTTAAATGCCGTGGCATTAAGTTTGGTTGTAACAAAACAATTTTCTCGGGAGGACAATTTAATCCAAGCAGCTGGTGAATGATTTATGTCCTCGCGTAATTTATTATGGTAGAACCGCGGTGGAATCATTTTCGCGAGACTCGTATGGTTCGTATGATAGACCACCCTGTGTCGGGTGAGACCGTATGGTAAAACGGTCGAAAGAAATAATTTCCAGCATGAATTATTGATAACGGGCGATTGATTGTTCAACGATCAAGACTTAATGTCCATGATCCGCGTGCGGACGTGACGAGATAGCGGGGAGGACCCGTGTCTGATTTGAATTCGCCCGACGAAGCGTCGCGCATCGTTAATTTTTACCTGCGAGGCAGCGACGGCCTCGTCGGGCCGAGGGTGCTCTTAGACACGGAGGTGCTTAGAGAATTCCGAAATAATTGCGACATACGTCGCCGACCGTTCATTATCCGCGTGTCGTGAGACGTCAATTAACCCTTTTTCTCCCTCGGATCGGTCTCGATAAATTATTACGTGCGAAGAGTCGACGTACACTGTATTTTGCGGCCGCGACACTACCGCGGTTCACGAGCCGCAAGCTGTACAATTACGCTCTCTACAAGACTTTTCTTTATGATAATCCCTTGTGCCCCTTGTCGCGACCCCCTTATCGCTCTTAAGCAGTAATAACAACGTGTTATCTGAGTATTAATTGAATCTCATTAAGGGATCGCATCAAGGTATGCGATCGCTCCAATTTTCGCGTGATGAAGTATATGGAACGTCTCACGGCCCGCAGGAATTACAGGATGCGATCGCTAAATTTGTTATTCGAGGCTTTTAACTGTAACTGATCATCATCCAATTACGACACAGTGCCTCTCGGAGTCGTTCCAATCGCGCATCGTTTCATCTGGCGTTCCTGATTATCGATAAGTGAATCGATATAATCTTTAAGGAACGATTGAAAAAAATATTCTTTGAATGTGTTACTCTCTATATTATATTATATATTAAAATATATATTTCATTTTTTATATAAATAAAACGTAACAGAAATATGAATGTAATATCATTTTATATTTCTCTCAAATCAAAAAAACATTCGTTTAAACACACCAATAATATGTAACTGAAGCATAGAAAAAGGATACATAAAAAAAATAGTTTTGCTCAAGTAAAAATGCAGCTAGATATAAATCTAATAATAATAATAATCTAAAATAATAATCTCAGAATCTAATAATGTTGGATCATCAAAATAATTATGTAAGAAGCTGAAGCATAATGAAACGCTGTTAGAGAGTTTTCCAGCAGCCAGATTGGGCGTTTAATATAATTATTTTGATGGTCCATCAAGATTATTTTCAGATTTGTATCTAACTATAAATTTTTATATATTTTAGCAAAGCAGTTCTTTCCATGTACTATTAATAATTTATTAAAGTATTATTATATAACATTAATTTCTAGGTACATTTCTTGTGTTACAACTTTTTTTTGTAAAAGACACATCGTTTACGCGGCTTAACGATAATTGCCGAGCGGTGTGCGTACGAAACAATTCCAAAAGAGCAAAGGGTCAATTTCGCATCGAGCGGAGCGACGAAAGTTCCGTTGCGTCGATTACGCAATCTACCGCGATACGAATGCGGCGATCGGTCCCCCGGATCGGAGGATGAGAGCGGAAGGTGCACGCGCGTACCTGAGTGGGAGTAACCGCATGTACCGAAGGGATGCATGTACTTAGTGCGTGCGGTGTGAGTTCCGAGTCGCGCGAGGACTTCAATCAACGTGCCGTCGCCCGGGGCCTATCCGATATCAGACATTAGGTACCCACGGGTACGGGGTACGGGTACCACCCCGGGACTCTTTCAACGATCCGACGCCCACTACACGCGAACCTGTATATCGAACTTTATTCGAAAGTGGCGTTCCCCTTCTCTCTCTTTCTCTCTGCTTTTTTTTCTCTTTTTTTCTGTATATTCCTCGGAACGATGGATAAACAATCGAGATTTAAAGGCGCACGTGAGTGAAAGCGATCCTGATCGTTCGCCATCCGGAATCCTTTTCTGCATTATGTAGATTGTAGAAGAAAAGAAGCTAACTATTTAGTTTTAAAAGATAAATCATATGACTGATTGACAAGAATATAATAGGTATATAATATATTATATCGCCGTGTTGATAGAAAAATGATACAAGTGAAAAAATTAATATTTTTTAGAATATTTTAGATAATGAAAGAAAATTGACTTAAAAACTTTAAGTTCGACTTTTTTTGTTATCTCAAAAATGTGCTAATTTTTTTACTCGTGCTACTTTCTCAACACACAGCGATATAATATTATTGTGTAAATTATCGAAAAATTAAAATAAAAGGGGTGAGACAGTTATGTCATTTTTCTATTGCTTCCTTATAAAGGTGAAGCGTTAATCTGTTCGATTAAACATGTAATAAATCACAAAGGATGAAAACAGCATATTTTTTTGGCCCCTTAGGTCTAACTGCCCCTCGAAATTTACACGTCAGCATTGCGCACTGTTCCATAACTCATAAATTACACAATACAGAATAACGTACGAGCTTCTGTGCGATTATGCACAATCTCTTCCTCTCTTCCTCTCCCTCTTGCTCTCTCTCTCTCTCTTTCCAATGTCCAGGTTTTTAAATCATCATAGTCAGCATGTCATATTACGAAACGTCACTGTATGTACAAATTCTTTCCGAATTATGTAACGGCATTAAATATCATAAGTTTTCGTGGGTGATAAGCTCTCAGAATGAATTAATCAGCCGGGCCGATTGCGTACAAGTCAAATATAGTAACGGTGTTATAAAGATAGCAGAGTCGTTCATTGGGAGTCGCACACATACATGCACTGACGGACAATGGATAATTCAGTCAAAGCACATCGTAAAACCATTAACATCGACTGTAAAATATCTGCGACACCGTTGCGGAAACGCCGGCGGGAGTCGAGCATTGTCGTGAAACTCGCGCTGATGTTAATTGCGATATATTCTCAATGAGGCAAAATTTAAAAAAATAGCGAAAAATACTATTTTTCCTTTAAGAAATTATAAATATAGACGAAGCAAATTTTGGAAAAAAAATTTCTGTTATTGTGAAACTTGCAGTATTAATCATGAACGTATAAGTTATCAAACTCAACCAACCACAGATAAACATTACTTGCCTTTTTTTAACGGACTTATATATTTCGAAAACGAATGTATCTAATTATATTATAACAAATAATGGTTTTTATTTCTCGTAACAAGTACCAAAGATGAAATCTTCAGGTAAAATTGCGTAACATATTTTCGTATAATCTTCATATAAAAGCGAGATCACAGAATTGCGATGTTTTGACATTTAAATAATTTTGAAAAATACTGTAATCAATTAAAAATTATATTATTTACCTTATTCTTACATATCACTATATTCATTGCTATATAAATGAACAGTTATTAGTTTGATGTTCATGATGGACCGGCGCATTACGAGTATTCCCCCTTTATCACATTAGGAACTTTTTGTAATTTGCCGTTTATCCAGATACGGTGAACGCTAAGATCAGGTTATCTTCTTCTTAACAACTAATTAAGAAAAGGATAACGTGACTTTAGCGTTCACCATATCTGGATTCACGTTATTATCAGTAAATTATTCAGAATTTTATTTCTCGCGTGAAATGCAAAGTGTATTTTGTATAAAATAATATCTCCTAAAAAAGTAATTTTAATATCTTTTATGCAATCTTGTTCTGTTGGGATATATCGTAGACTGTGTAAAACACAGTTCAAATTAATAATTCAGAAGTTAAAATATCCATATATATATATAGAGAGAGGAAGATCATTACGAAGTCACTCTCCACGTTTTGCACAGTGTCGGATATTTTTTATTAAAATTCTTACCTTGAAAAGGATAACCAGTGAAGTAGGGTGCCATATTGATAGTGCTGACTGCCATCTAGCTGTTCCTTTTTCAGAAAAGATATCTTCCGTTTGTTTCTTTCTTCTTTTCTTCGTTTCTCTCAGTCACCAGCAGCACCAACCACACCAAGGATCCTCACTTCCGTCGATTTCGAGTTCGGCTCACAATCCGATTCACAAATCAAAGTCTCACTTTCTCGCATGCGCCTAGCGATAATGAGCAGCGTCCAGCGGTGATAACGGTAACACTCGATTTCGCCTTCACCGCGAAGGGTCGAAATGAAAAGAGGACTCGCTGTCCTTTTTCTTTTTTTTAATTTTCGCTTTGACGCAAAGCAGGACGAACCTGTTAGCTCCGAAGTCTCGGTTGAAACTGCCGGTTTCTACGGTCGCGATCGTCGAGGGCATGCAAAAGAAACGAAAGGCAGGCACGAAAGGAGGAAAGCCTCCGTTGGAAGGCTCCGCCTTCGTCGTGGGGCCCCTTTGAGGAGCGACCAGCCGACGGTCCCAGCCGCGCTCTTTCATGGCTTTTATCGGCGCCGCTGCATTGGTCACCTGCCAGGTGATCTTGCCGTGTTGGAGGTGGTCGCACGTCCAACTCCGCCTTGGAGAACAGACCTTCCTCCACTACACCACCCACGAACGAGGATGATGCGCGTTCGCCGCGTTCGCGCTCGGCTTACTTAGCTCTCCCGGTGACCGATAATATCGATATCGCGCGATCACGAATTTCCCATGGCTGATCAATATCAATTTTTTTCACGAATTCAACACGACTGATTTGATTCGAAAAAAAAGATTCAGTCCTCAAATGAACGCGATTGACATCTTCGCGGCTCACAAAAAAGTTTATTGTTATCGATCTTAATTTTATGGTAATTTCTAAATTAATTTATAAATATAAGAAACGTATAATTCTAATTGGCTTCTAACTTTTAGTATTTATACACAATTTAAGATAGAAATGTAATTATATTTAATTTTCATTTTTTACTTATGTGACAAGATTGTCAACAGTAAAATGTAATATTTATATTATTTCCTTAACATGCATGGACGGTTTACTAAAGTATCCAAAAATTTAGTTAGATATAGATGTAAAAATAATTTTGTTGGCCCATCAAAATAATTATGTAAGATATTTTAACATAATTAACAATACTGTAAAATATTTTGACATTCTATAATAACCAGCTTGAGCATCTTATATAATTATTTTAATGATTCAACGAAATTATTTTCAGATGTATCTGGCTAAACTTTTAGATATTCCAGCGAAATAATTCTTTCCGAGTGCGATATTATCAAGAATTTGTGCGAATGATTTAACGATTTTTAATCCAACAGTTAATACATAGGTATCAAATATTTATATAATATTCCACTAATCTAATTTTACATTTTCTGACGACTTTATTATAATAAAAAAACGTAATAATTAACAAATTACACATAATGGCACGTTAGCATCACGCGTCGATTAATCGTTCAATACTTTCCGATGCCAGGCAATTAGTTGCAGATTTTAGAGCAGCGCACCGCGACGATACGACTTACGAGTCCACCGTCGATTTCGTAACGACTCGGACGCGGAACCCTCAGTATAAATTTACGATATCTAATCTTCCTTTGATTCACACGAAGTGCCGCGCGGCCGTCGACACTCTCGTCGTGAAACCCGCCCGACCGCCTCCGTGCCATCACGCATCGCGTGATCCCGCCAATGAGATCGTGCGAGGTTCAGAGAGGGCCGCTGTACACGATCCCGCGGTCGCGATTCGGCGCGCATCGTTAATTAAAATTAATTACGTTAGTCGAGTAATCGTGCGTTTAATTGAATCGCGGGATTCCGCCGCTGAAAGCTTCCGCCCGAGACGAAGGCGGAAAATGGAACGGCGATACCGGCGGCGGAATCGGCATTTTGCACGGGCGCACTCCTCTTTCCGCGTCCTTGATTTTTCTCATTGGCACGTCACATTTAATTGCGATTGCAACGATATCGTTACATCTCCGTGTAATTAATGCCGATCGTAATTAATGTCGTAAAAAGGAAAAAGAATAATTGTCGTAACTCTCCGTTCGTGAGAATCGTCATCGAAGATGGACAACGGGGAAAGCAGACGACGCGAAAGAGAGGTCTCAGCGAGTCGGCTTAAAAAAAAAGAGGAACACACATTGCAAAGGGGTTCTAGAACGCATGCGGAGCACGATCGCAGTTTCTTTCTTCCTTCCTGGGACATTAGACATTTCGGACGGACTCCCCGCCGCGGCGAAGCTACCACGACTGATTCGCGTGTAATCACTTCGGACATCGACCGAAAAGCCGCGAGAACTCGCTCGAAAGAGCATCGCAATCTGGCACAATGGACCTTAGGACCGCATTAATACACGCGTCAAGCTCTGACGCGTATTGGTTGTGACAATAATTCTGTTTATTCGCACAGAAGTTTGAAACTCGTTTGAGACATTAGTCCATACCGTAATGACAAAACATCGTAATGTGTAAAAGATGATTTCTGAACAGTAGATATAGAATTTTCTTGTGAAAGGCAGGAAAATTTTCAACGGTTTATGGCTTTTAAATTCAAGTAATTTAAAGGGTGTCATTAACCTTTAAGCAAGCAAGTGGGATGTTCAGAACATCCCAAACAATTTTATTTTTATAATTACATTTTTTAATAGTAGAGGAAGGTCACTGATACTGACATAGGTGCTAAAGCGACATCCCCTTATTTCTTAGAAATTAACCTTTGCACCTTATTAATACTAATAAAAAACGTGATCTGTTTAGCTAATTAAAGAAGTACAAACTCATAATTCATATATTTGTAGCTTATTTCTATACCAAATCAGTTAAAAACAAATTCTATGAATCCGAGAAGAAAATTCTTACGTGTTCTTTTGCAAATTGCGTAATTAAAATAATAGTGACTGTATTATTGATAATATTATGTCATTTTAAATGTTTATAGTTTCATAAATTAGTTTTTTTCTTTACAAAATAGGATATGTCTTTATTTATAGAATATGAATGTTGGCATTATTGCCTACTATGTCAGTTTTGGAGCCCATTTTGTCAGACGCTCATTTTTGCATAACTTACGAAAAACTTAATTATTGCAAAATTGCAAACAGTATTATAAAAACTGCTTATACTATCTGATAGAAGACACTTTTTAGTTTGTATTTATGTTTTTGAAGTTGTATTTTTACCTTTTGTTTAAGAAATATTGTCTAAAAACAAAGTGGTACGTTGATATCGGTGACCTTCCTCTATGTATAGAGTTAAATTTACATTATATTTATATTTTTATGAAATAGAGGAATGTAAAAATAATTAACTTTAAGACTTCTAGAAAATTCTTTTTATTTTCCTTTTCCAGAAGATTTTTAAAATAACTATGCTAGAGTTCTCTCTCTCTCTCTCTCTCTCTCTCTCTCTCTCTCTCTCTGTAACCATCTACCTACTTAAAGATTAAATTAAACATGACGTTTCCTTTAACCTAAACATTTCCTTTAACCTTTAAAAATCCTGGCTAAGAAAAGATGAAATTTTACGGAAAAAAAAACAATTTCAATTAGCTCACAGTTCTTAAAATTCGGAGCAGTTGAAGGGCTTGTTTCAACAGTGGGTTGACATTTTGTAAGAACGGAGTAAACGAACTTTAAAGTTAAAGTTAAAGATGAGGAAAATTACCGATATCACGTATTTGGCTACGTTGTATGTTAGCCCTACAATGTAATTGAATATATAATATTAATATATTTCCGGATCGATTTTTATGCGTAAATGAGTTTGGGATGTTTAATTTTAGGATATTTTTTATATAAATTGAAAGGCTTACTGCGACAGTGGATTAACCTACATTTTATAAGAACGGATTAAATGCACTCTAAAGTTAAAGTGATAGGAAAAATACCAGTGTCATAAAATGTGGGTTAATCCATTATTGCAGTAGATCCCTCAATTTATAAGAAGTGTCGTTCTAAAATTAAACATCCCGAAATTAAACTCATTTACGTATCGAAATTCAACCACAGCATTTTACAATGTCAACATGCGATAACGACAGAGGATATATCTCATTGCGAGAGGCGATTTAATGTATCCGAGTCGAGAAGTCGCACATTAACCGCCACGTCGATCAACGTCGGGGATTTCCCGCGAGGATCACGAGAGAGCTAATTAATTGCGTGGCCGGTCGACGTGCGATCCGCATTAATCAGCATCGAGAGCACGAGAGAGATCGTTGAGAAGCGGGGATGAGGGGGGTCCCTTTTACGTAAAATTTATGCGCGCCCTCGCAGCGCTTCGCGGAGAGTCACCCCGATCAGACACGCTGTTGCGCCTCGCCGCTCGTCATTAGGGGGATAATGCATATCTTAATGATTACGAAACGAAACACTGACACCGGAGTGGATACGTGTAAGTACGCCGATGAATGGCGTCCGGACACACGGCGGGTGCCCGTCCACCGTTCGCCAACCGAGTGTCGTCCCACGCTCCCGCAATCAGCTCCCCATAAACTACAATCACGACACGTGCTATCGCGCTGCCCGGCGCATCGCGGCGCACACCCTGTAGAAATAGATGATAGCCACGTTGTGGATTTCAACACTCTGGGACAGATCAGTGAGGAGTAGACTTTCCAGATATCTTGAGCAGGCAGCCATAAGCTTTCTCGAAGTTAGGGATGAAAGACGGCCTAATTACAAAGAACGATCACTTGTATCGATGCCGCGGCGATCTAAAGTCTTTTTTTCAAGGACTGTGTCTGAAACCTTTTATTTTCTAAGTGCCAAACGGAAATATTCGCCTTGAATAAAGATTCGAATGTGAATATTTGTAATCAAGAATTATCTAGTAAAAAAACTGATAATTACACTAAATAATGATTCTTTATTACATCTTATTGATACTTGGAAAGAATGATTTTACTGAAGGAAAAAATTTTATTAAATTGTAGTTATAAAAATAATTTTATCCATCAAAATAATTAGGCTTAAACTGGTTATTAGAATGTCATAACCTTTTGCAGTATTACTCATTATGCTTGAGCGTCCTACATAATTATTTTGATGGTCTAACAAAATTATTGTCAGATCTTTATCTAGCTAAATTTTTAGATATTTCAGCAAAATTTTTCCTTTCATAGTAGGTATTATCATACATTGGAATATATCATACTGGATTGTGTCATTTTTCATTAATGCACTCCACGAATTGTTTGTACGCCTAAATGTTATATGCAAAAAATATTCCCTTTAACGCTTTAAATAGCTCATTGTCTTGTCCGACAATATAGAATCTGTTCCGACTGCAGATTTAACCTTCATGCTTGAAATTCGCTT